GGCCGATGTTTTTCCACTCAATGAAGGCCTTAAATAGGAGAGAATTCAAGACCTCAAGGTGCAACGAAATTAAAGAACAAAGGAGAAACAGTGAACAGTGGCACTCTCCGATATAGCAAAGAGAATTCAAGACCTCAAGGTGCAACGAACTCAAAGCTCGACAAAGGAGAAACAGTGGACAGTGGCAATCTCCGACATACCTTGGCCAAGAATCGAAGCCGTTGCTGAGTTTAGACTACGTACTAGAGAAACAGTGGACAGTGGCACTCTCCGACATACCCGACTAGCCAAGAATCGAAGCCATTGCTGAGTTTAGACTACGTACCTGACACGGTTACCAAGAATCGAAGCCGTTGCTGAGTTTAGACTACCATGGCCAAGAATGGAATCTGTTGCTGAGTTTAGACTACGTAATGGCCAAGAATCGAAGCCGTTGCTGAGTTTAGACTTTGGCCAAGAATCGAAGCCGTTGCTGAGTTTAGACTACGTACGGACGGATTGCCTGGCAAAACACCTTCAAAGATTGGGAGTATACACTCAACCATCAAAACACCTTCACAGATTGAGAGTATACACTCAACCCACATATACTCTATGTAACCTACAGGAGGAAATGGAGAAGTCCCACCTGTCTATGTGACCTACAGGAGGAAACGGAGAAGACCCACCATATGTAACCTACATGAGGAAATGGAGAAGACCCATCTGATCTGTAACCTACAGGAGGAAATGGAGAAGACCCACCTGATGTGAAACCTACAGGAGGAAATGGAGAAGACCCATCTGATTCTTAATCTAAGAGAGTATACACTCAACCCACATGCCCTCTGTGTAACCTACATCAAAACACCTTCACAGATTGAGAGTATACACTCAACCCACATATACTCTATGTAACCTACAGGAGGAAATGGAGAAGTCCCACCTGTCTATGTGACCTACAGGAGGAAACGGAGAAGACCCACCATATGTAACCTACATGAGGAAATGGAGAAGACCCATCTGAAATGTAACCTACAGGAGGAAATGGAGAAGACCCACCTGATTTGGTGTCCAGCTCTAAAGACAAGGACGGAAAGCCAAAGATATATACAGGAGGAAATGGAGAAGACCCACCTGATTCGGTGTTCAAAGGAGGAAATGGAGAAGACCCACCTGATTCGGTGTCTAGCCGGAGAAGACCCACCTGATTCGGTGTCCAGCCCTAGAGACAAGGGAGTCTGATTAATGTAACCTACAGGAGGAAATGGAGAAGACCCACCTGATTAGGTGTCCAGCTATACAGGAGGAAATGGAGAAGACCCACCTGATTCGGTGTTCACCAGAGGAGGAAATGGAGAAGACCCACCTGATTCGATGTCCAGCTCTAAAGACAACACCGGAAAGCCAGAGATACTGGGAAGCAAGAAGACAGCTACAGGAAAGCCAAAGATACTGGGAAGCAAGAAGACTGCTAATGTCTGCTATTAATTAACTGCTATATATGTACCCCCCACCCATGGGCTGTGTTAATAACCGCTATAAATGTACCCCCCCCCCCTCTTGGGGAAGCTGAAGTCAAAGATTAAGGCTATAAATGTACCCCCCCCCCCACCCTTGGGGGAAGATGAAGTCAAAGTTTTTCCGCTATTTTAACCGCTATAAATGTACCCCCCCCCCCTCTTGGGGAAGCTGAAGTCAAAGATTAAGGTAAGCAAGAAGACTGCTAATGAACTGCTATTAATTAACTGCTTTAAATGTACCCCCCCCCTCTTGGGGGAAGCTGAAGTCAACATATGTACCCCCCACCCTTGGGGGAAGCTGAAGTCAAAGCTACGAATGTGCACGGCTAATGAACTGCTATTAATTAACTGCTATAAATGTATCCCTTCCCACAATTGGGTTGAAGTTGAAGTCAAAGTTTAAGGGCTAATTATAAATATCACAAAGCTTGCCATTTGAAATAATAATGTTTTTTTAATTTCAGGACAAGTGAGTGTAAATTGTAGTGGATGTCAATTGTTAAGAAAAAATTCTCAAATTCAGTGGCAGTTGGTTAATTGCATTTAGAGGTTTTGAAAATATAGCCAATATGGAGTTATAGTGCTGTTGCTTTGAGGGAGTCAGGGAGATTTTTTCTCGGTTATTTTGGAGTAAGGGAGATGGCATTGACTAACATGAGCAAGATTTAATTTGTGTTCATCCATTTCGAAACCTTGGGTCACACTATGGGAATTAGTAGGTTTGATAGAGTTGTCAGTTCTATTCTAAAAATTTGCTCAATTTAAACTATTAGAGCTGTGAAATTGCAGTAATTATGAACTGAGTTATTTGAAATTTACAAATTGATCCATTACTGTAGAGAGATTACAGCTTAGTAACCATCTACTGAGAAAAGAGCTGTTGTTTCTAGGCATCTACAAACTTTACCAAATGGCAAAATATTGTGTCCGTAGTTGAATACTTCTATTAGTAGGAAGTATTGAATTGAGCTGTCAGCCCTGTACTTAGAGTTAGAAGAGTTTAATGAGATGAACAGAGTAAAGCGATCGTGAGCTCAGAGACTGCTCAGTCACCTGTCAATCAATGTTCGCAGTATTGTATAACAAATCCTTAATTGTACCGTAATTACTAAGCTTTGTCATATAAAATACAAATGAACGTATTCCACTTCATGCGTCTGTTTCCTCTATATCGTTGAGGTAGCTTAGTGAATTTCCTGAACTTTCCCTTACTAGACGATTTTGTCATAGCAGAGGTCCAGTCAAGTCATATTTGTGCCATAATCCGCTATAAATTTCTGTTTTTACAAGAAATTTGTCTTGGCAACCACCACTACCAGCTTCATTATATCGACCTCCCACAACGACGCTTAATCCTGTGGTGACCCCAGGTTCCTTGTAGTATTAGTTCATTTGTTTCATATTACTTTTTTAATTGGTGTAAAATTATTCCCTGGGGTTGGGGTTGGGGGAGGGGGAGTGGGAGGAGGGTGTATAACGCTACCGAATGAATTCCGTGCTCAGTAAGAACATTCCAGAAAAAGTGGCGTACTGCTGATCGCAATGCTAGTAAGTGTAATTTGTGCGCAGAGGTCTTCCAACCAATCATCTATGAATATTTCCGCTACGAAAGGTAACGTAGACTGCATTTAATGACCACTTCTATGAACACTTTCAGCATACATGCAGATGGCCAATCCCCCCCCCCCCTCCCTAAGTCGCAATAAACGTCCTTCATTGTGTACATTCTGTCTGTGTCATCAAGTCAATTTTTGTGACAAGTTTATGCTTAAGGGCTCCGATTGAGATGGTTTGCATTTTGTCGGACTTCCAGGAGGATTGTGAAGATTTATTAGCGTTTCTTTGAGTAGTATCTATTGCAATGCTAAGATGGCTTAAAGATGGCCTCAATTCGAAACATTATTAAACTGTCCGGTTGGCTAAACTAAAGTAAGCCCTTTATGACGCGAGAATTCATATCTTTTACAAAGGCAAATCATTTACTTCTCACATTCCTAAATTTTTAGTTGGACTGGACTTGCTGAAGTTAGCAGAAGATTGCCACTAACTCACTGAAAGTAACTCAGGTTGATCTAAACAGAGAACAAGTATTTGCTTTTAAAATGCTAAATCGGCTATGTGATTATGTTCCTAATCTTATAAACTACTTGATCAACTTCAGATATTCATATCAGATGGCAGGCTTTTCTGATAGTTATCATTAGCCCTTTAGTTGACTTCGGGCTTCACAGAGAGGAAGGACATTAAGGCCACAAAAAGTGGAGGGGGGAAACAGAAGAGTGATTGACAGATATACAAGAGACAGACACAAAGACACTCGAAATGAATAAGGTGAGTAATGTGGAAGTGGTCGAATATGACATACAGTGGGGTCATGGTATTTTGAAACCAGATGTCAACTTCGGGTTTATAGACCTTTTTTGTTGTATGAGTTTACGTTGTCCAGGGTGCACCAAGTGGAGGTAAGTCCGACAAATATGGGCACTGACTTTTTGGTTTCATAAAGTGCAATTTTGGCCTTTAGTTCGATTGAAGACACTCGAAAAACGTGCCCAAGCTGATGACAATTTTACTCACAACTCCAGTGTTTTTCAAATGGCAGGCCTTATGATAATTATCATTAGCACTTTAGTTGAGTTCGGTCTTCACAGAGGAGAAAAACATCAAAATAAGAAAAATTCGATTGGGGAACAGAAGAGTAGTTCAAGGATGTAAAAGAGACAGACACAAAGATAGAGAGAAGGAGCACTGTGGAAGTGGTCGGATATGACATACATTGGAGTCATGGCAGTTTGAAGTCTGAAGTCAACTGGTGGTTAATAGACTTTTTTGCCGTATGAGTATACGTTGCCCAGGGTGTACCACGTGGAGGTAAGTCCATCGTACACTCCACGATTGCAGTGTCAAATTTTCTTCAAATAAAGCAATCTTTACTACAACCCTTAGTTCGCGTTGCGGATTATCACAAAATAAAACAATTAAAATAAGTGTTACAATTGCCAAGTACTTTTGCTAGCGTCATATTAACTCTATATGGAAGAAAATGTCATATTATAGTTGGTTTTTTCCTAAAATTGCTGAAATTCATATAAAAATGGAATCATACGAGTACGTAGAATGAATGATCAAATCAATAGTAAGATAATTATGTGGGCGGATTCTATATTGTGGCTCAGAGAATGTTCAATACTTGCGATTAGTCAATTAATCAATCAATAGTACAATTACCCCAGGAAATACAACTATTTTAACATGGCACATGTTCAGACTTATTAAGGCGCCAATATTTAGCCATAATTATTCCGAGTTCAATTTACTCGTTCGACAAATTCCCAACAATTCATATAAATTAGAACTCTTTTAAGGTTTTGTTTAATTCACTAAATTTTAAAAAATAATAATGTTTACTATTACGTCAAAAAGAGTGACACTGTTTAAATCGAATTCCATTTGTTGGCGAGAAGCTGTGATAAAGTATTATTTCATGCCTATTTCTTTTTTATTATGTTCATACAAGTAAAACGCACATTTTGAATAGGATTAATTCAAAATTATTTATGAAATACAGCTCTATTGAGCTATTAAAAATTTTTCGAGGTAAAAAATACTATTTCAATTTCTTATTTCGAAAAAACGCGTTTAAGCATAAGCAGCGATGGGACGGAGCTTAGGCTAAAGAAAAAAGAGTTTTGATTGGTCTAAATTTTACTCTTTTTGTTCTCCATTTCCATTACCTATTAGGCTTATCGTAAGAAAAATTGGGCTCAAACCATTTAATTTAATTTCAACACCTTTCCTCTCCACTTTTTCTAGGTGGTTTATCAAATTGGTTCCATGTAATTAATTTTCCAAATGTAATGCTTCCAGTGAAAAGAATCCCATCCTAAGGCTTCAAAAATTTAATGAAAATAAACAAATTTTTATCGTGTTTGTAGTATAAGTTTGTTATTTTGTTGACACAAATCAGTACAAAATCCATATCGACTCATCCAGATTTCCTCTGTGCAGACTAAGAATTTTCATTGGGTTGCTTAACCTAACCCTTATAAATAAACGCAAAGTTATTCAGCATTTTCGACGCATACGAACATTCATCCTATTCTATTTCCCACGAATTAGTGTCTAAGTTGTAGATAAAAGTTTAAAATGAATCAATGAATCACCAATGGAAATACTATTAAAAAAGGCGGTTAGTGAAATGAAGCATTACAAATAACTGCTATAATTAAATAACATTCAGACCTATTACGGTGATAATTGGGACTAAATCTTAACAATGAATAAGTCAGCCAATTGAGAAATTGAGCTTGCTCGTTCACCGATGCACAGCTGGCTATGAGAAGATTGGTTAATATCAAAAAGGGCAAGTGCGTCCATCCTTGAGCGCGTTCTATTGATTGCGAACGTCAACGCGATTAAACGGGCGCACGCGTGCAATTTAGGCGCAAGTGACCAAATTCACTGTTCGCATTTTGCCAAGCTGTTTGGAGTGGGAACGCCTACTCAGGTCGGCCAATCATATTTCCCGCCTTCCTTAATCGATCCCAACTAACTTGAGCGAGCATTGAAACTCACTCCCTTTCTACCGCCTTCAACGCGTGCGTAAAAGAGAGCGTGAGCGCGGTGGAGTGAGTTAGTTGGTGCGTGTATACAATCATTAGATGTTAGGATTGAAAGAGAAAGCATCTACGCTCTCACTAGTGCTATACCGTCTACTCCTCACCACGTTCCAAATGCCCAAGTGAATCAAATCCCGGAATGGGCACAGCTCACTCCCAACATTCAGCTTCAGTTCGTGTCTCCCCAGTCTGTGGATATCCTAAAAACGCCTCCAACATTGGAACAAAGCCCATTTCCATCCATAGTGAAGGGCCTAGTACAGAGGGAACACGAGTTACAACGGGTTCAGAACCCCATCTCGCTTCCGCCTCCGTTCGATCGATCTACAAACAAGCTGGAAATAATCTAAATACTCGATGGAATTCTAGACGAAAGGATTACGCTTCCAGAAATGAAACGGGTCGACTGAGCGCTAATGGGAATGTTTATGACTGTGGTCCTCTAGATAGTACTGGCTGGACAAGAAGCTCATCTAGAAAGAAGATTCGACCTCGAGCATTGAAACAGGCCTCACACAATTCAACTAACTCCTCATATATTGCTGATTGCAGTCCGGATAGAAGCGCGGCTGCACAAAGTGATCTCCATGTTTCTGATCGCGATAGCTTTGTTGCTGTCAACGAACATCAGTTGCGATTAGGGCTCAACAGACTCTCTTCCATTGATGGAACCTGCAGTACAAATGGCCACTTAAACAGCTTTAATTCCCCATCAAGATGTTATTTAGCTTCAAGTGGTTATACCAATCGGAGGTCCAACCCTTCAGAAGAAGATCAGATATCATGCCATCTAGCACAACGTCGGCACCTCTCTGAACTATGTCTTCACCTTGACGGATTAAATAATTTAAACCATCACCGAATTCCCTCTGCCCTTCGTTCTCCAAGAAAATCCCAACCCCCTGTGGCTCCATGTTTTATTCAGACTTATGATTTTGGAACACAAACAGCAGATGTTGGACATTTTGCCAGAATGACAACTACCTCGGCGTCTATGTATGCTCCGAAATCTCAGTTGAAATCGCCATCTTGCCAAGCTACTCCAGCCAAATCTACTCATAGACGATCTACTTACCTGGCCGCTCCATACTCATCTCGTTCCCCACTCAGTAGTGAAGCAGAACTTCTCAGTCCTGAGAATGATGAAACAGAGGATGCTGCTTTGGATAATTATCACGACTACGCTAACCTCCCCCATTCTCGATCCCGATCGTTGAAAATACCGAAAAGGTCCCAACTGACCCACCAACAAGCTTCAAAATCTGTTGGGGTTAAGTTAAAATCCGAGGAGTGCTATGAGGATACCGGACGTATTCCATTACCAAGTCGTCGTCTTTCAAAATCCCGATGGCGATTCATGTCTAGAGGAAAGAATCTCACCAAATCCCTATCTTGCTATGCTCTCAAGTTCTTTGGCCAGCAGAATAGGAGTTATGAATCCTCTGATCAACTCCTTGTGAGCACTAGTCAGTATGGACCACAGGCCCCGTCCAAACCTACCACAGTGACTATGTTGAAAAGGGGAGCAACGACTAGAGATGCCCCTAATTCCACTCCAGATGATCTTGTACATACTCTCCAGCGGGTCCTTCGACTTGGCCAATCAGAGGAAACAGAAAAGGTTACTCACACTGTTTCCATTCAAAATAAGATTAATCGGAGTTTGAGTGCTTTCGAAAATCAGGATTCGATGGCTCAAAGACGTCATGTCATGCAAAGATCGACTTTCCAACATTCCACAAAAGAAAGTAAAAGACGAGATAAGTATTCACTCCTTCAAACTACCAGTACAAAGGAACTTCTCCATTGTCTTTCTATTTTTATTCTCAAGAACTGCAACAATCTTTGTGAAACACATAATACAAGTTCACCCCTATATCCAGAGGAAATTATCGCTTGGATTCGAGATATTGACAGGGCGCTGATACAGCAGGGTTGGACAGATATACCATTTCTCAGTCCAGTGAATGTAGTTTTTCTTTTCATTATGATCAAGGATTTTGTGGATTCGAGTATAACCTGCAGTCGTGAACTTCATTCACTTGTAATGGTCTGTCTCTACCTTTCCTATGGATACATGGGGAACGAAATTAGCTATCCCCTGAAACCTTTTTTGAACGCAGAGATTCTTTATAGCACGCTACATGAAAATGATCCCCAGCGATTTCGGAATATAAACGCCAATGATTCGATGTCATCGAGGAATCCAAAAGTGACTAATCGATTTCGAGATGCCTTCTGGGATACTTGCGTTCGAGTCTTGAAATGCAAAAGTAAGGATATGCTTAAACTCAATGCTGACTTTGGATTCTTTACTCAGAGCATAGTTGAGCTGCGTTCTTATGCCAATTCCACTGATCAACAGCGGAATTCGTCTGCTTAACGCTAACCCGGTGATCTCTATCTCTTATTTCCAAATTTTCCTCCTTCTTTCATCTACTGTAAGTTTGGGCTTGTGTTTGAATGCACTGAGGCATGTGCATACTATTGACAGGCTTCATTTCATACGCAGGCATATAAACAAACGTTATTTGCATTAATCCTTTTTTCCCTTTCTTTAATGAGAAGAAGGAATGCTTTTATTTTGCTGCCAGGTTGACACCTCTTTTTCAACTAGAATAGTGATTCGAATCGGCACATTGCATGGTAGTTACTTCTGTTGAACAGTCAACTGCCATTCCAAGGCTGATAATTATATTGACGATTACTTTTATTGGCCGGTGCTATGAAATTAAATGGCTCATAAATTTGCCTGAATCGTGTAATTAATAACAGCGTGCGCTAATAATTTATATTTAATATCGGCATATTGCTAACGCCCATTACTATTGCGACAACCACTGTGGCAACTGTTAAAATCTAACTTTTTCCAAATAAGATATCAGATAATTTGGGTTTTAGTTTCCTACCTTTGATCATATGCTTCCAACTTGAAAAAAGTATAAAAAACAGCCAATAAGATGCTGTTCAATGGTTGCCTTGCAAGGAAAGTTAAAAGGTAAAAAAATTATAAAACGATATTTCAATGTGATTGCACCAAAGAAAAATGCAGAATATGTAAATACTCCAACAATATTCTTGCGTATCCATGAAAATGCCTCTTTTAGAATGACGTTTCAAACGTTATTAATAAGCGTGTATGCAGGAGCGCCTATGACTAATTTAAACAACCAAAATTGTTCAATTTCGTTAATTTGAAATTTGATTTAATTTTTAGATTGATTCTAAGAAAGTTGGTATCAATACTCGCACTGGCAAGTGTAAAAGAGAATTTTTTTAAAACTCATCCATTTTACGAAGGATTTCATAAACAGAGAGACGGATTCCAGATAAGAAAGTTTTTACGCTTATCTTTTCTAATGAACAGGCTCTGAGCTAAAATCCCTAACGGCACTCTCTAATTCGAAATCTAAATAATTTAATTTTAATTTATATAAAATCCTGTCCATGCTATTCGAAATCGCAGTTTTTTAATCTAGAAATAGCTGGAAGTGTCGTTTCTACACTTAGATTAATTGACAATCACGGGATTCTAAATTTAATTAAAAGTCAAATGCCATTGTGATTTAGTTAATCAATCAAAAAAGAATTTTTTATTATCTTTACTGGTAAGATTAATTAATTAATTATTGAAAATGTATCTGTTGTTTCCATAGGGATTTAAATTTTCGCAGGTCTTTGCTTATTGAATTTAAAAGTTTCATTTGTTATTAAAAATCGAGAATAATTCAAAACACTAGAACGAGTATACATACTTTTCGACAATGAGTTTAGTTTTTTGCGAACCGCGCCCGTGTTTATTCGAGCTTCTCTCGCTAAATAGGTTTAAAATTAAAACAAAAGAATGGATATTTAAATTTTAAATGCCAAGAAATAAAAGGCTACACTTCGATGATTTTGTCACCGGAATTATTGCCGTTTTCCAAAAGCCTTTTTATATCAAACCCGATAGAAAAAATATTTTTTTTCAAAAATTTGGTATTAGTTTTGCAAAGCAAAATTGAATTTTTGGTGCTTTGAACTTAATTTAATTTACCAATGAGATGGAACACTTTAGTATCTTGTTTATTATGATAAGGTAGTATTTTAAATAGTTTGCCTTTCGATTTTTAGATAGCATTGCAACAGTTATAACCAACGGCAAAGCTATAATGAAATATTTTTAAAAATTACATATAAAAATTTACGTCTGTTAGGATTGCCTTGCAACATAATTAAATATTAACCAGAGACTGTGTGACCAGTAAATTCACTGAGAAGTGCCCTTTTTAGCACCAAATAGAAAATCCACAAGCTTTTTCATTAAAACAAATCAAGTATTCTGGTCATTCTATTTGCCATATAAAGTAGAGACTTTTAAAGCTTATTGTGACCTTGGAAAAATGTATTCCATGCTAAGTTCTCCGGATGCGGGAAATAAAAGATAATCTTTTAAATTGCATTTAATTGTAATGAAGTTACCATAATAGAAAATGAGTTAAAAATCAATGTATTAAATTGGATTTAAGCAATTCAAAAGATTAAATAGCAAAAAGCGCAATTAACTATGAGAAAGGTTTGGAGAAATTTTAAATTATAGAAACGTAATAAAGTATTAATATTTTGAACAAAAGTCAGTACTTAATTAATTTTGAACTTGAAAAGCCTGATTAGCTGCCTCTTTCAGGCTTAAACTTTTAAAAAAGTACCCAATGCTTTTTAGTCCTTCGTGAAATTGAAATTGACAAAAATCAATTAAATTTTAAAATTTTTCTGGCAGTTTTGACATGAAATCATTCACTACTTTAATGACTTTACCTGTCTGTGATGGCAACTGCACTGAGACAAAAGCCTCATAATTAGTTAATGGATTGGGCTCAATGATGAGCGTGATAAAGCACATTTAATTATTTAATGCTTTAACTGTCCTAACACAGGTCTTATAGTGGTATGGTAGTTTAAATTCATAAGTTGGGCAGTAGATGCGTTTTTGGAAATGGTAACGTTTCCATCGCATTAAAAACTGCATGCAGAAGGTTCCCAAAGAGCCTAGGGGTAAATGAAAGCGCGGTTGATTGTATCTTAGTGCGTCATATGAAATTACAGTTGGGAAGGGACAAAAGTGAACGTCAGAGGGAGAATTATGATGTCGAGATAATTTACATCAAATGGCAGGCATTTTGATAGTTTCATTAGCCCTTTAGGTGACTTCAGGCCTCACAGAGGAGAAGAAATACCAAAGTGAAAAAAATTCGAGAGGGGGTGGACAGAAGAATTTTTCAAAGATATGAAAGAGACAGACACAAAGGCCGAGCAAAGGTGAGGTGAGTACTGTGGAAGTAGTCGAATATAACATACAGTGGGGTCATGATAGCTTGAACTCAGAACTCAACTATAGTCGGACCATAGTAGTTTGAAGTCAGAAGTCAACTGCCGGTTTACGGTGGGGTGATGGTAGTTTGAAGTCAGAAAGCAACTGCCAGTGTGGGGTCATGATAGCTTGAACTCAGAACTCAACTGCCGGTTAATAGAATTTTTTGTCGTATGAGTATACGTTGCCCAGGGTGCACCACGTGGAGGTAATTCTATCGCACACCCCATGATGTCGAGATAATTTACTATTTTATTTCGCTCTCCAAGGCCTCTATTGCTAATGGGAATCGCCACCCAAAAGCATTATTATATGATAAATATATTGAATTGTCTTTGATCAGTTATATTCCATTATTACTAAGGCATAACATAACTCAAGGATTTTTTTATACAGCAAACATCTGCCAAAGTGAATTCCACAGCATATTGCTTTCCACTCACTTGAATTTATCTCAATTTACATAACCACTAAGGAACTATTCATTATTCATCTATTGTTTTTTGCATACCATTCGCCCATTAAGAGCACGGTAATAATAATGTTGACAATAAAATTCAATTACCCCCTCCAATAAATGGTGCTTGAATATTGCATGAGAGGAATGGAACGAATTTCAGCTTTGAGGGAGGATTATCCTTATGCAAAAATCATTACTGCATATCATAACGAAATTATGAATTAAGATGAGGAAATAAGTAACATCTTTTTTGATATTTTTCATTTTTTAAACGACGATAGTAGGACAAGCAATTCTATCTTCATTACAACACTGCAGAAAAGAAATTAAATGCGAGAATTAGAATCTACATCTGCATATTTTTCATAACTCAATTAGCACCTTTTAGCGTAAATCGAGTACACCAGTGGTGAAGTGGTTAGCGTGATTATATACGAAGTTGACGGTAATGTGCATATTCATTGATCGAATCAGCTAGTCGTATTGGTGGCAGAAATTGGGTTTTTTTGCCACTAATACTCTCCGATATGTTACTCATCATTCTAAGATTTCTGTGAGTCATGTAAACGAGTTCCTTGGTACCTGTTAGCTTCTTCTGCTCGAAAATAGATTTGGAAGGTAAATCAATTGAGTAGATCGATTACTGATTAAAACTGACGTTCTAATAGATGGCGTTTAATCCAGCCTTGACTTAATTGAATTGCGAAATATCTTGGAGTTAAATGGAGTTGTAACTTAACTTTGTACTCAGAATGTTTGTTATTTGCAAATTTGCCAATTCGATTTTGTTCAGATGGTCTTTCCTTTAACATTGTATCAAATGGCAGGCGTTTTAATAGTTATCATCAGCCCTTTAATTGACTTCAGGCTTCACAGAGGGGAGGAACATCAAAATGAAAAAAATTGAGAGGGGGGGGGGAACAGAAGAGCATTTCAAAAATGATGTAAGAGACAGACCTAAAAGTAGAAAAAATGGGGGAGTGAGTACTGTGGGAGAAGTGGAATATGGCATACAGTGGGGTGATGGTAGTTTGAAGTGAGAAGTCAACCGCCGGTTAATAGACTTTTTTGCCGTATGAGTATACGTTGCCCAGTGTGCACCACGTGGAGGTAAGTCTATCGCACACCCCGTCCTTTAACATTATCGATACTGAAAAAAGCTTCCCAGAACACTCTTCGAATAACCATAAAAAATGATTTTCCAATTATTAAAATGAATATTAACTGTTAAATGCTAAATATATTTTATAGGGCAACCTTTAAAGTACTCATTTAGGCCCAAAGTGCTGTGTTAAATGGGAATTTTCTAAAGCAGACTGGGCGCTGAAAGAACTATAATTGCACTGCATAGATTACCCTCTCGCTCTTATTATAAAAATAAAATTGCAAAAACGATGAATCCAATTTTAAATATGTACAATTTAAACGAGATATTCGTATTAAATTTATCAATTAAAACAATCGTGGTTATGCTGGTATGATGAAACCGCCATTTTAATCATTATTGAATTCCGATATCCCGGAGTTCGGTTGAATTAAAAATAGGCTTTAACGTTACAGTCAATTGGGAGAT